TTCTGCTTCAGTGACCTTTTCTGAGCTGCTGAGGTGGGATTACCACCCAGGTCAGGAGGTATGACTTCACTGGATACTTGCTCAGGATCAGTGACTCAGGAACAGCCAGGCAAACTCCTATGACGTGTTTCTAGAAGCAGGCCGGCAATGGCTGCCACCTCCTCCCTTTACAGCCGAACACATATTGATTACACAGGTTCTGGGGACAATTTAATTCAGATAAAGAACTGAGTTTATTTACCACCATAACCAGCCACAGAACCTGTGTAATTCATGTCTGTTCGGTTTTTAAAGGGATGAAGCGGCAACCCTACAATGGCTGCCAGAGAATATTAGCCCACTTACATTTCTCGCACACCATCTTCTCTTCCTGGCCGACGGATTGTAAACACGGGCGCTTCCTGTAGACGTCATTGCCGATCAGGTGACGGCCGAGGCGGGCACTGATTGGCTGTAGGCGGAGGGGACGCTAAGGTGCGGTGGGATGAGGCGGGCGCTGATTGGCTGTGGGTGGGTTATCGGCGCAGGTGATGGAGGAGGAGCGGTGAGCGGACAGGTGAGGTGATGGTGACCCAGGAAGGAGGGGAGGGTGCTCTGTAGTACCGGGGTTAGATAGTGGGGGGGGTCCTCTGAAGTCACCATGTCCCAGCAGGAGCCGTGGAGTCCGCATCCATTAGCAGAGCCATCATTAGAACCTTTCTGTCCTCCAGCCCCTCCCCCCCCCCCCCAGAGGCTTCCTGACTGACTAGTTCCTGGAAATACCAGATGCCTGGCTGATTTTGGCCTGTAGGGGTGATGGGTTGGTGTAGTCTGAGAGAAGCTGGCATTTCTGTCCTCCATACTTGAAGGAGATCAGCTCAGGGCCCCATTCCCCCTTCACACCGTGTCCATGGATCAGTACAAGGACACATAGAGATCAGGGGGCTCTGTGCTCCCATCTCACCCGACTTGTACATGAATGGTGCGTTTGTACGCAGCGCACCTCACCGCAGTCCATCGCAGCGTGCATGTCAGTCATGTGACCATCGTGATTGGCTGTCATAGCGGTCACATGATTGGAAAACTCCTGATTGCAAGTACAATGGCTAAATGGTTAGCATTTCCACCTGGCAGTACTAGGGTCGTTGGTTCAAATCCCAGCCACGGCACCTCCTGCCTGGAGTTTGCATGTTCTCCCTGTGCCTGCGTGGGTTTCCTTCGGGTACTCCGGTTTCCTCACACACTCCAAAGACATGCTGGTAGGTGAATTGGCTCCTGTCTAAATTGGCCCTAGTATGTGTATGTATGAATGTGAGTTAGGGACCTTAGATTGTACGCCCCCTTGAGGGTTAGGGACTGATGTGAATGTACAATATATATGTGTAAAGTGCTGCGTAAATTGATGGCGCTATATAAGTACGCTGAAATAAATAAGTAGCGATCAGGAGCTTTCCGTTACCTGCCAGTAACTCTGCCGGAAGTGCTCAGGGCACACGCTCTCGGCACGACATTGCTTTCATTTTGGTACGCATATGTGTATGACCGGTGGGAACAGATTACTTTCCCAAATTTCTCAATGGAAGGATGGCTTTCAACAGGTATTATTATTAGGATTTATATAGTGCCAACAGTTTGCTCAGTTCTTTACAATATAATGGGAGACAATACAGTTCAATACAAGAGGGATGGCAGGGCCCTGATCCTTGGAGCTTACAATCTAAGAGGGAGGGGCTGGTGGTACAAAAGGTAGTAACTGTGGGGGGGGATGGACTGGTTGGAAGAGTAGAGTATTCCAGTATTGGCTGAGGGCAGAATAGGCTTCCCAGAAGAGAGAGGTTTTCAGAGATCGCCTAAAAGTGAGCAGAGTAGGCGATATAGTCTGATAAATTGGGGTAGAGAGTTCCAGAGGATGGGGGAAGCTCCGGAGATGAGTATGGGAGGAGGAGACAAGGGAGCTAGAGAGCAGGAGGTCGTGTGAGGAGCGGAGAGTACGGGTTGGGTGATATTATTTGGAGACAATGGAGGTGGAGGTCCATGCATTTGCTCCCCTGGAGGGAATTAGTTTTCTGAGTCTAGTGAGAATTCGTTAATCTTAAAGAATATATTACCTCAACAATTCATATTCCTGATATATGCATGCTGTACCACGTACAGTGGATATAAAAAGTCTACACACCCCTGTAAAATGTTAGGTTTCTGTGATATAAAAAACACGAGACAAAGATAAATAATTTCAGAACTTTTTCCACCTTTAACCTCCCTGGCGGTCTAACTAATCAATATTTTTGAATGTCAAAGCGGTAAATTTTTTTTTTTTTTGCATGGAAATTTGTTTTATATTGCAGGCCTGCAATTCTCAGGAATAACTCACTTAAATCTGTCCAGACAAGAGTCTAGTAAACATCCCGGGGATGATAAAGTTTGAAACACAAAATCATAAATATAATAATAATAAATTTAATTCAATAATATAATCAAACCAAAAACACTGAAATTTGAAATATAGCGCCAAGTTCGCACATCACTGAGCAAAATCACAGAATCGTTTTCAGTGTCTGATGATGAATTTCCCCACAAATCATTATCACTCAATTCTGCAAGTGGTTCTGATTTACTATCGCTGTTCTCTAGCCGGTCTAAAACCGCTTTTGACCTAAAGGGACGCTTTTTGGATGCCATGGACGTTTCTCAGTTTCCAGGCAGAAAGAGCGGTAAACGTGCAGGCAGGGCGCAGGACAAAGCACTCGGGACAACATTTAGGTGAAATGGTTTGATACAGTAATGGAATACTAAGAGATTTCAGTGTATTGTGTGTATGTCAAATTTTTACTTTTTTTAATCTCCCGCTGGTTCTGTCCCATGTACTTCCCGACGCTCGCAGGGAACTGAACCTGGAAGATAGATGCCGGCATCAGCCGGGGGACACAGGGACCTCACGGGATCGTGGGACAAGGTAAGGCTTGAGGGATCACTGCAGTGTAATCCCGAGTGTTCGCTCGGGGTTACTGCTTTTGGTACTGAAATTAACCCCGAGCACACTTGAGATTACCGCCAGGAAGGTTAATGTAACCTATAAACTGTACAACTCAGTTGAACAACAAACTGTAATCTTTTAGGAGGAGGGAAGTAAAAAGTAAATAAAAAACTGACCGCACTAGGCATGAGAGCACATCCTTCTCAGCGTAGTCAGTTTTCTGGTTGTGGGGGCTGAACAACTTGCCTGTCCTTCAATGGCCAAGACTTGTGCTATTCACTGGGGAGATCAATGTTCTGCTGTTTCTTTGCACCCAGCTCTCTAAGCCCCTTGTGCAGCAGAGAACAGAGATTTTGTGATTCTCTATAGTGGGTCACAAGAGTGCACTTACTTTTCCTCTTCTGGGATCCAGAGTCATATGATAGTGGGCTATTTCCTGCTATTATTCGATTGGACAGAGCTGCTCCAGGTTCTTGAAGGATCCGACAATATCAATGGGATCCACCTGGCTGCCTGATTGCAGCTGGCTCCAGAGAGTCTGAACCAGCCTCCAGCCTCCTCCCCAGCTCAGTACACCAGTGAACACTGGAGGAGAAAAGCGGAGAGCGTTGACTGATAGTCACTGCTATCCTCTCTGAGCAGACCAAGAACTGAGCGATCAGCAGTCGTGATCACTCTTTTCTTCACTCAGTACTTGGGCTTAGAGCAGATGTGGGATGGATGTTGCAGCAGCATGGAGGTATGATTGTATGTTTGTTTTCATAACTCCATACTTTTCCATTCATATGTGCATCTAAACTCTTCCTGAAATTATGTGGAAAAGACTCAGCTATTGCATATTTAGGTTCAGGCAGGATTTAGGAATAACAATATTTTGCATTTTTTTTTATCAAAATACAGTACAAAAGGTTGTGACCCTGGTAGTTTTGCCATTATTGTCAGAATTTATTTTTTTGTTTGTTATATTTTTTTACAGTTTTTTTTTTTTTTTTTTTTTTTGAGCCCTGTTGGGGGGCTTAGATGAGATATCAGGGATCTAAAAAGGAAGGAATGAAAGAAAAAAGGAAGGAAGTAAAAAAAAAAAAAAAAGGAAGGAATAAAGGAAAGGGTGGAAGGAAGGAAAGAAAAAAAGGAAAAGATGGAAGGAAATGAAAGAGAAAATAATAGAAAGAAAAGAGGCAGTTCCTCTTACATTACAGTACTCACTGGAAGGCAGGAGAAAAAAGGGAGGGGGGAATCGGCAGGCTTCTTCTTTCCTCTTCTGCCTAGGCTTCAAACTTCCTTCCCACGCAGTGTGGATGAGCCAGACACAGAAGCAGAGAGGGGCAGGAGGGAGGAGAGCAGAAGCAGCTCTCTCTGCTCTCCCATCCCTGTGGGAAGGGATGGGGGGAGGGAACTGTCAGTGTGGAGCAGAAGCAGCTCTCTCTCCTCTCTTTCCGTGGGGGGGGAATGGGGATTGACACTGTCAGCGCTAACTCTCTCAGCTTAGGTGCAGTCGAAAGAAGCTAGATAGGAGGAGCAGCGGGGCGGCTTCATATAGAGCAGGGGTGTCAAACCGGCGGCCCTCCAGCTGTTGTGAAACTACAAGTCCCATCATGCCTCTGTCTTTGGGAGTCATGCTCTCAATCTTGTAATGCCTAATGGGTCTTGTAGTTTGCAAACAGCTGTAGGGCTCCCAGTTTGACACCCGTGATATAGAGGAATCCATCTGTTCATGTTCCTCCTGTACATGAATGCCGCTGAATGTTAGGTTCTCCTTCTCTCTTGCAGGCATTCTGCTGCTGCAGGAGGAACATGGAGAGATCGGTTTCCTCCATATGCAGTCACCCCCGCCACTCCTCCTATCCAGGTGTACAGGGGGCTGGGTCGCAATTGTGACCCCTATAGCTATGCTCTTGGTTTTCCTACCTTCAGGTAAAAAGGGGGACACCAGTGCAAAGACCAACACATGCTGCAACAATTAAAGGGAACCATATGAATACAAACTGTGGTTTTGGTTATAGTACTTTGTTTAAAGTGAGTGTATTTTCTAATCTTAGGTGACCCAATGGATGAGACGGAGATCCGGAGACTTGCAGTGGGACATGTGCTGAGCGTCTTGGCTGTGGTGGTTTCCCTGTGTGTCCCACCACTCCTTTTCGATCCCTTCTCTGTCCTGGGAACGCATCTTACATGGCTGTGCTTCTGCTCTGTCTGTGTCATAGCTGTTAATGTTTTGTTACTTTTAACATTCAAACCAAATCCTTCAACCAAAAGAAGCTCTCTTTCAAACAAGGTGATTGGACAATTTTTTTACTTTATCCTAGAGTTCTGCTGTTTTATGATGACTTGAAAGCCTAACCCATGTTCACTGTGACTTTAAAATAGAACTATAGGCAACAATTATTCATTTTGTGTAGAGTATAGGAGGGTTATAACCCCTATCAGGTTTTTTTTGCCATCTGCGTACCATTAGAGAGAATCCTCTCCACTTCCTGCCCCATGGCGAAAAGAGAAAGTGAGAGGAAATCCCTGCAAATTAAGGGAATCTCTTGGGGCCCCCATGTCACCAGAACTAGTGTCCCCATTGGAAGATTTCCCCTCTGATACTGTTCTGGGGACAACCCAAAATTTAGGATTTTCTTTTAATTTCAATAATAAGGGTAGACAGGACAAATAGAGAGGGTAAATCTCCCTAACGGGAGGCAAGGTAGCAAAAAAAAACCTAGCAGGTTTTCTAACCCATCTCCACTCTGTCCAAAACTAAAAAGAAAAAAATGTTCTGCTTTTAGTTATACTTTAAGGCTTCGATAGCACCAAACATGCAGAAAAAGTGATGGAAAGCGACGGGCAGATTTCACGACGGCAGATTTCAGAGAAATCAGTTTACATTGTTTTTCAAGCACACTTCAGTGAGTTTTATACACGTTGCAGATTCCTGCACAGAAAATCTGCACATGATACCAGTGTTGTGGTGTGAACAGGGCACATAGAGAACAATTGGTTTAGTTGTCCTTGCAGAACACGTGCAGAAAAAACGGACTTTTCTGCATCATGGTGTGAATGAGCCCTAAACTATAAATGAATGCAAAGATTCCTCTGATAGGCTGAGAAGCAGGTGGATGATGTAACGATCTCCATCTCCGCCAGTCAAAGAAAGCTTTGTATTCATTCGTTGAATACAAAGCTTCCTGTGAATGGTTGATCATTGCTCAGCCTGACCTGATTTTGTCCCAGGAGAGGGATAGGAAGTCTCAGTCCTGCTGTTGGAACACAGCACTGTATTCTGTATACAGCTGAGGTCACATACAGTTTATACCACGCTCTTTTAGTGCAGAGGATAGTTCATTTGAACCCAAACACTCTATTGAAAGACACAGTAAACACGGAGTTAGGTTTCAAAGTGCTATCTAACGCAAAACCAAAAATGTAATATATTGCAGCTTACCAGTCATTAGATGTTATGGATCCACTAGTTTTCCTGCTGTCCCGCTATAAGTCGCTGATCGCTGCCATTACTAGTTAAATTTAAAAAAAAAAAAAAAAAAAAAATTCCAGTATATATACCTCCATTTGTAAACGCTATAACTTTCACACAAACTAATCAGTATACACTTATTGGAATTTTTTTTTTTACCAAAGACGTGCAGCAGAATACATTTTGGCCAAAATGTATTAAGATATTTGATTTTTTTTTTAATTTAATAACATATTATTAAATATGTTTCATAGCAGAAATGTTGTTTTTTTTTTCCAAAAATTTTAGGTCTTTTTTTCATTTATATAATAAAAAATAAACCCAGTGTTGATCAAATAAGACCAAAAGAAAGCTCTATTTGTGTGAAAAAAAAATATCAATTTTGTTTGAGTACTGCATTGTATGACCGCGCAATTGTCAGTTTTTTTTTTTTTTCCTCTACTTGTACTGTAAAAATGCTAATAACATGCTAACGCTCCTAAGCACTACTAAAAAATCTATTACCAGTGTATTTTATCCAGCATTTTTCCCATTGTTTTGAGCTTAAAAAAACGCTAGTGTGCATGGAGCCTAATAAAGAAAACTAATGCAGCGCTCACACATCTTAAAATTGGTAAGCTGCATTATAATAGAAGCTTTGGTTTATTACCAATTTAAAGAAATACTACAATCACATATATTACCCCAGTGTCGTTTCAAATGAAAAAACTAAAACCAAGTAATAAAACCTCCATTATTATTTCAGTGATCCTACAGCTAATTTGGCCCCCATGCCTCCAACAGCCTGATACATGAGGATGAAATACAAAAAACGACCCCTGTGTGCAGCCTTATCATGCCTTGTATAACTGCTTTCATGATGCTTTATTATGCGTTATGTAAGCTGTTTTATCACTCCGCATGACAAAATGAAAGTTGAGTACAGACAATATTTTGCATGTCATGTTATTGACTGTAAAGATTATTTTGTTGACATTTTTAGAGCTTTTAGCAATTTCTTATTTCAGAATAGTTTTCTGTTAAATGTGTTACTCTATAAAGGGGTTTTCTACTTGAACTCCAGACTGGGTTTACAACCTAATGATTACAGATACCTCTTAGTGATGCCTTGTATTTCCTGGTCAGGGAAGCCCTACTAACAATCTTCAACCAGTCTGGAGACATCCTCCATGTTTTTTTCTTGACAAGTTTCCTTCAGTTGAAATTTTGTATAATTTGATTAGTTTGCTTTTTGTTTTTTTCTAATTGGCTATTCTGTTTTGCAGGTCAATAAACTGTATAGATCCTGCCTATATTTCTTAGCTTCCTGTCTGCTGTTTCATGGGATTATAGTTTTGTATGGCGCACCTCTTGTAGAGTAAGTATTATTTTTATTTAGCAGTCCTGAAAACATCATGACTATATATCACCTGTATTCTGTAAACTAGAGGTATGTGCAAAACGATAGGAGAGGGGAGAAAGAAGCTGCAGTGGTTTTCTTTATAGGAAAGCATTCCTTTAGATGTGAATTGTCCCTCCAGCCACTAGCCAGCCCGTAGTTATTATAGTTTTTTTTTTTTTTGTTGCAGGTACTTATATAGCAGACTTAATTTACGCAGCACTTTACATATATATTGTACATTTACATCAGTCCCTAACCCTCAAGGGGCGTACAAAGTTATGCCATGAAAGTATGCACATTTCCGGGAGTCAACCTTATATCCGTTCTTATGCAGAAATCCCCCTGTATGTATGCCTTTATCAGTACAAAAAAATGTAAACGGGTTATCTTTGCTGATTCTTGGAGAACTTTCAAAGGACAATGGAGAGCAAAAATAGGAATAATTATATGTGCCAATGTGTTAGATGTCCCTTCAGCACTTCATGATTTGGAATATAAAAGATACATCCTAAAAAACATTCCACAGTTTCCAATGCAGCATGCCACAGTACATGGTATGCTCATCATCTTATTTACTTTATTTTCACATACCAAATGCATTCTCCTTTTTCCGGTTTTGGTAATGCAGACCTGTGTAGCGACACACCAACTCTGTGAGGTCCATTTATCCATATATTAACACATTTTTATAACTAAATCTTGGATAGGCCCCTATATTGTTTGTCTCTCTGCTCCCACTGACTCCGCTGTAGAGCACTGTGCTATAACAAACATGATTATAGTACTTGTATGCTTTCAGAATACATCCTTTAAATAATTGCATTCGGCTTGTACAGTAATTTTCTTCAGCTGACTCTTCACATTATGTTACAGATCAGTGGGAGAACAGTTAAATGCTAAAATAAAACAATTTTAGTTTATGCGCATTATCATGCAATATCTGTGTTGTGCAGAAAGCATCATGTTCACCTAGATTTACACATTACTCTGACCCTGTGCTAGGCTTGCCATTCTCTAGTATGTCTGAAGTATTACTCCAATATAAATGTCTTTTTTTTTTTTTTAAGTCTTAAGACCCCAGTCACATCAGGTGCAACTTGGAATGCAATTTGCTTGCCATATACAACTTGCAAATCAGAGGGCAAGTCGCATCCTTATTGTCCACAACTTACATGCGGTCATAAGATCAGTGCGGTTCCGACTTGGTGAGAGGCACACCATTTCTAAAGTAGTAATGCACTACTTTTGGTGCAATTTGCATATACATCTGTGTCAGATGTCTTGCAAATCAACACCTCAAAATGGCATGTCATCTGACTTTGAAATCGTGCGACTTCACTCTAAGTCACATAGTTACATAGTTTAGTCTGGCCAAAAAAGACAAACGTCCATTCCAGTTCAACCATTAAAAAAAAAAAAGTTATAATCTTATACCCACAGTTGATCCAGAGGAAGTCAAAAAAAAAACCCCAGCAAAAGCATGATCCATTTTGCACCTGCTGGGAAAAAAATTCCGCCATCCTGATCCCCTGTGAGGCAATCGGATATTCCCTGGATCAACTTTTACATATAAAAATGTTACTATCCAGATATATTCTGTGTATCTACGAAAACAATCCAGGACTTTTTTGAAGCAATCCACTGAGCTGGCCACAACCCCTCTTGAGGGAGTCTAATTCCACATTTTCACAGTGTTTGGAGATTAAATCTCTTTTCCAACATCCAGACGTAAAGAGTGCCCCCCATACTTGTCCTCTGTGATGACCTCTGGGTGAATAGCTCACACCGAGTTCAAAATGTATGAACCACTGATGTATTTTATACATGAAGATCATATCCCCCTTATGTATTCTATACATGGGAGATCATATCCCCCCTTATGTATTATACATGGAGATCATATCCCCCTTATGTATTATACATGGAGATCATATTTCCCCCTTATGTATTATACATGGAGATCATATCCCCCTTATGTATTATACATGGTGATCATATCCCCCCTTATGATATTATACATGGTGATCATCATCCCCCCTTATGTATTATACATGGAGATCATATCCCCCATTATGTATTATACATGGTGATCATATCCCCCCTTATTTGAAGCATTATACATGGTGATCATATCCCCCCTTATGTATTATACATGGAGATCATATCCCCCTTATGTATTATACATGGAGATCATATCCCCCTTATGTATTATACATGGAGATCATATCCCCCTTATGTATTATACATGGAGATCATATCCCCCTTATGTATTATACATGAAGATCATATCCCCCCCCCTTATGTATTATACATGGAGATCATATCCCCCCTTATGTATTATACATGGAGATCATATCCCCCCTTATGTATTATACATGGAGATCATATCCCCCCTTATGTATTATACATGGAGATCATATCCCCCCTTATGTATTATACAGTCAGGTCCATAAATATTGGGACATCCACAATTCTAACATTTTTGAGCTCTATATTCCCCACAATGGATTTGAAATGAAACGAACAAGATGTGCTTTAACTGCAGACTGTCAGCTTTAATTTATACATGGTATTTACAATCCAAATCAGGTGAACGGTTGTAGGAAGTACAACAGTTTGCATATGTGCCTCCCACTTATTACAGGAACCAAAAGTAATGGGACAGAATATTATCATAAAATCAGACTTTCACTTTTGATTAAATATACTTGGTTGGAGATTTAAATCCTTTTTTGCAGTCAATTACAGCCTGAAGTCTGGAACGCATAGACATCACCAGACGCTGGGGTTTCATCCCTGGTGATGCTCTGCCAGGCCTCTACTGCAACTGTTCTTCAGTTCCTGCTTGTATTCTTGGAGATTTTCCCTTCAGTTATGTCTTCACAAGTGAAAATGCATCTCAATCAGATTCAGGTCAGGTGATTGACTTGGCCATTGCATAATATCCCCCTTATTATTATACCTTAAAAATCTTTGGTTGCTTTTGCAGTATGCTTTGGGTCATTGTCCCCATCTGCACTGTGAAGCGAGCATCATATCCAATGAGTTCTGAAGCTTTGGCTGAATCATGAGCAGATAATATTGCCCGAAACATTCACAAGTTCATCCGGGCTGCTTTTGTCAGCAGTCACATCATCAATAAATTATACAAGAGAACCATATTCCCCTTATTGGCAGCCATACATGCCCACGCCAGACACTACCACCACCATGCTTCACTGATGAGGTGGTATGCTTAGGATCATGAGCAGTTCCTTTCCTTCTCCATACTCCTTCTGTCCCATCACTCTGGTACAAGTTGATCTTGGTCCTCATCTGTCCCATAGGATGTTGTTCCAGAACTTTGAAGGCTTTTTTAGATGTCGTTTGGCAAACTCTAATCTGGCCTTCCTGTTTTTGAGGCTCACCAATGGTTTACATCTTGTGGTGAACCCTCTGTATTCACTCTGGTGAAGTCTTCTCTTGATTATTGACTTGACACACATACACCTACCTCCTGTAGAGTGTTCTTGATCTGGCCAACTGTTGTGAAGGGTGTTTTATTCACCAGGGAAAGAATTCTTCGGTCAGCCACCACAGTAGTTTTCCGTGGTCTTCCGGGTCTTTTGGTGTTGCTGAGCTCACCGATGCGTTCCTTCTTTTTAAGAATGTTCCAAACAGTTGTTTTGGCCACGCCTAATGTTTTTGCTATCTCTCTGATGGGTTTGTTTTGTTTTTTCAGCCTAATGATGGCTTGCTTCACTGATAGTGACAGCTCTTTGGATCTCATCTTGAGAGTTGACAGCAACAGATTCCAAATGCAAATAGCACACTTGAAATGAACTCTGGACCTTTTATCTGCTCATTGTAATTGGGATAATGAGGAAATAACACACACCTGGCCATGGAACGGCTGAGAAGCCAATTGTCCCATTACTTTTGGTCCCTTAATAAGTGGGAGGCACATATGCAAACTGTTGTAATTCCTACACCATTCACCTGATTTGGATGTAAATACCCTCAAATTAAAGCTGACAGTCTGCAGTTAAAGCACATCTTGTTTGTTTCATTTCAAATCCATTGTGGTGGTGTATAGAGCCAAAAATGTTAGAATTGTGTCGATGTCCCAATATTTATCCCCCTGACTGTACATGGAGATCATATCCCCCCTTATGTATTATACATGGAGATCATATCCCCCCTTATGTATTATACATGGAGATCATATCCCCCCTTATGTATTATACATGGAGATCATATCCCCCCCTTATGTATTATACATGGAGATCATACCCCCCCCTTATGTATCATACATGGAGATCATATCCCCCCTTATGTATCATACATGGAGATCATATCCCCCCTTATGTATCATACATGGAGATCATATCCCCCTTATGTATCATACATGGAGATCATATCCCCCTTATGTATCATACATGGAGATCATATCCCCCTTATGTATCATACATGGAGATCATATCCCCCCTTATGTATCATACATGGAGATCATATCCCCCTTATGTATCATACATGGAGATCATACCCCCCTTATGTATTATACATGGAGATCATATCCCCCCTTATGTATCATACATGGAGATCATATCCCCCCTTATGTATTATACATGGAGATCATATCCCCCTTATGTATTATACATGGAGATCATATCCCCCTTATGTATCATACATGGAGATCATATCCCCCTTATGTATCATACATGGAGATCATATCCCCCTTATGTATCATACATGGAGATCATATCCCCCCTTATGTATTATACATGGAGATCATATCCCCCTTATGTATTATACATGGAGATCATATCCCCCCTTATGTATTATACATGGTGATCATATCCCCCCTTATGTATTATACATGGAGATCATATCCCCCTTATGTATTATACATGGAGATCATATCCCCCCTTATGTTATGTATTCTACATGGAGATCATATCCCCCCTTATGTATTCTACATGTTGATCATATCCCCCCTTA